CGTTTCACGCATTGAGCGCATAGATCGCCTGGAAATCTATAGTTCACGTAACATATATTATATATTTCCAGGCAATCTATGCGCTCATTGCGTGAAACAGAACGCGCTCTAGGTTTAGAATCAGTACTTAACGTAACGTAATGCATTACGGAAAAGCTTGTGCGGTGGCCTTTAGGCCGGTATTCATAGTCCGTTCTTATATTTAGGATTACCTTAAGTACGGTTTTAAGATGCTATTCGGCCATTTCATTGGTTGAATGGAATCTTAAGACGATCTTAAATATAAGAACGGACTATGAATACCGGCCTCAACCTTCTTTTATATAACTTTAGTTTTAAAAATATACAATCGACTCCCTGAACGCGCCCATAGAGTTCACGTGAAACTTTTCACTTTTTACGTTTCCGCCCTAAGGAAAAAGTACATGATCGACCCCATAGACATAGTATATCTAGACCGAGCGTTTGCCTTTATTTAAGGAGTTGGGGTAAAGATACACGTAGAAAAGGACATACTCTGTTTCGTGTTCCTTGCGTTCTGTCTCGCTCGCACAGAGCATAGCGCTCTCTTTCGTCATGCTACGTGCGAGCGAGAGAGAACGCAAGGGGCACGAAACAGAGTATGTCCTTTTCTACGTGCACCTTGGCTCCCACTCCTCAACACTCGGTCTAGATATACTATGTCTATGATCGATCCCCTGGACATGTGTGTCGTTAGGGTTATAAATCCACAAATATTTAACCAATTAAAAAAAGTTGTTCAAAAGAAAGTTGCATGTTTCCAAGAGGCCTTTTTAATCATTTAAAAATAAACTCATCCTAGTTTCCCCATAAAGAGGGACGGGGAGTAACTTCAGAGTTTCAGATAGAACGCTCTATAATTAAATTACATTTTTGGATTCTGCAGCAAAAAAAAACAAGTAAATTTTATTCATGACATATTGTTTTGTGAAATGTTTCTATCAAAAAAGTTATGAGTATTTAAAATTTAAACAAGTTTAATCAATGTAATTATGAAACAATATTAAACAAAGGATTTAAATAAAACAATTTTTCTGTTCGTTTACTTTATTAAATATTCGATATGTTGACCATTTATTTCTAAACACTTGACAAATCTTTTTACAAAACTCTGTCTAACTCTGCATAACATTTCTGGTGTCACAATGGCACAAACTTCA